TTATTGGGTGGGGGCAGTGCCCAAGATAGAAGTTTTCAAAATGCAGGGTTTTTCCTAGATACCCCTTCTTCAGCATGAAAGTCCCTTTTGGAAGTGCCCGCAGAAGGTGCCCTAAACCAACCTGAAACCCTAAACCCGAAACCTTAAGCCCTATATCCTAAACTAACCTTAAACCCTAAGCCACAGACTCTATACCCAAAGCCAACTTTAAACCCTAAGCCCTGAACCCATCGCCAGCCACCAGGCCATTTTTGCGAGCCGGAAAAGGGGCATTGCAAACACAAAACAAAACCCACAGACCTGAAACCCTCAATTTTGACCAGGTGCATCCCTGGTGGCTTGCCATCAGCGCCACGATTCTTCTTTGCTCCTCGGTGGGCTCGGCTGGTATGTACAGCAACCCAGCTTCTTTAGGTTTAGGGTTTTAGGGTTCAGGGTTTAGGGGTCAGGGCTCTGATCCTGCCAAGAATTGGGAGAGAACGTGGAAGATGGAATCGACTATGAATTAGAAATTAGTGCTTAGGGTTTGGCGTGGGTGGGGAATTTCAGGAGTTAGCGTTCAGGGTTTTTTAGAGGGTTAAGGACTTAGGGTTTAGGGTTTAGGATTTAGGGTTTCGTGTTTAGGGTTTAGGGTTCAGGGTTCAGGGTTTAGGATTGAGGGTTTATGGTTCAGGTTCGGGGTTTCATGGCACAGATTGTGTGTCCTTCCTGCGGGAAGCCCCAAACTCATGGGCTCCCCTGCTACTCCCCCCCTGGTTGAGGGTTTAGGTTTTAGGGGATTTAGAGTTTGGGGTTTAGGGCATACTAGCCGCCAAGCTTTGCTTGAAGTAGCCCGAAGTATATTCCAATCATGTTTGATTAGGGGGAAGGTTTCGGGGATTGTAGGGGAACCCATGATAAGCAGGCCGGCGGTCTCTTTATCTTGGGCGCGGTGTCCCGTAAGATGGATCTCTAGATGAGGTGAAAAGGCGGAGGAGTTTAACAGCGGTGTTTGGCCCCTAGGGTGGTTTCGAGATTTTTTTGGGCCTCCTACAAGGAGGGCTCTTGTATTTCTGCATATGTAACAGAGATCCCCCCAATGTTACTTGGATGTGACACCCCTAAACCCTAGACCCGAAACCCTAGACCCCGGACGTGAGGCAAGAAGAGGCGCGAAGGCATTGATGTCGAAGTAAAAAGCATCGCGGTGGCCATCAGCTTCCTCGTTGCGTTCTTCCAGCTTCTTGCCGTTAGGGTTTAGGGTTTAGGGTTTAGGGATGCTTAGGGAGCGTTGGGGAGTGGGTTATATTAGGATTATATTGGGGGGTTACATTGGGATCATGGAAAATAAAACGGAAACTATGATTATAGGTATCATTTGAGGGATTTACGTAGGGATTACATAGGCACCCTAAAACCCTAAACCCTAAACCCTGAACCCCTAAACCCCTAAACCCTGAACCCCTAAACCCCTAAACCCTGAACCCCTAAACCCCTAAACGGGTATCCTAGTGATCCACTCCTGCACTCTCCCTCAAGCTCCAGTAAGGCTTGCACCTTTCATGGATTTGGTTCAGATGTGGCGGCATGGCAGTAGGTTCATGGATGATGACAAGAAGCAGCATATACTTCAGAGGGACATGGTCATCAAGTTGGTGGAGTCAGCTCCGCAAGCTTTTTTCCAAGCATATGTGATCTTTGCCTTGGAAGCCCATGGTCAACCATTACGCGTCTTTTCGCTTGCCATCTCCATTGCCAGCCTTTCTCTGTCACTCGTTGTTTCTCTACCAGAACTCACAAGTGCACGTGAGATGTTTTCGAGTAAGCCTCATGGTGATGGCCAAGAATTTGACCCTTCTTGTGGGGAAAGCGTTGAGGAGGATGGGGAATCAAGTGCTTTGTTCGCTGAGAAGTCACGACGTACGACGATGGTTCAAGCGGTTGCTATGGAAACAAAGGCTCGGATGTCGGAGAGAAAGAGCACCTCGCAAAAATCACGCTCCACCAAGCATGTTGGTGAGATGGAGCATGGTGCTCCCGCAGCAGATGTGATCGGATCGCCTCTGGAGCACAGACGCGCAGATGCCGAGCACGACGAGGAGTCGGGCTGCCAACTTCCTCAACAGCAAGGGCCCGCTCCTCCCAAAGTTGTTGTGGGTTCCTGAAGTCTTCTTTGTTGATCTTTTTTTCATGTCCTGTGAATTGCATAGTTAGTAGCCAACCGCTGCACTGACACACACACACATATATGGCTTTGCTGCATGTAATGTAGATGTTCATGTAAAGCCGCTCAAAGACAAACTATAGAGACTACGTACTTAATGCTGGTTAGTCGGGCAGAAGAGAATCTATTATATGGGGATTGTAGTATTCCTTATCCCTACTAACTACCAGTAAGACTAGGTTCTGCGCTCCATGAGTCTATGCTTGGCAAGCTGATCTTCTGGGCCTACTTGGCCTCGGACACACTCCTACGATCCGGCGGCTACGCTGTGGTCCTTTCCCACGCGCTCAGGCGCAGCAAAGCCAGTTGTTGTTGTGGTTGTGGTGGTTGTTGTTGTTGGTGGTGGTGGTGATGGCGGTGCTGGTGGTGGCGGCGGCGGCGGCGGCGGCGGTGGTGGTGGTGGTGGTTGCGGCGGTAGCAGTTGTCGTACTCGTACTAGTACTAGTATTACTGTATTGATGCTAGTACTTGTTTGTGCTACTAGTTTCAGCACCAGTACTCAAACTACTGGTGCTAGCAAGGACCATTAGTATTAATGCTAATACTTGTACTTCGACGATTGCTGTTGATACAGTTTTTTTGTACTTGTTTGTGAAGGTCGTGTTCCGTTGTCCAAGTCAGAGCGTTTTTTTTGCCTGCACCTGATCATCATGCCCAGGCCTGTTGGAGTTCCCCTGGCAACTTTCTTTGCCTTGTTCCAACTTGCCTTGGGCTTTTGGGATACATTCACGATGGCGGTTGAGATGGTATGGATCGCTATGAAGCACATGTGGTACGTCATGAAAGCAGAGGCCACAGAGTTCATCTCGTTAGTGTCCGACCTACTTGGCGAAGGAGTCGCTCCGCCCATCCAGGATTCTGACGGTGACTTGGTGATTATTTAGGAGCTTTTGCCCGCTTTTTTTCTTCAGGAAATCACGTCGTGCTCTGATATTCAAGTGACCGACTAACAACAAGGCCCACAAGATTGGGATGTGGCATGTGCAATGCTATGCCTGCCATGTCTCCCTTGCTTGAAGAGGATCCTGAAGTTGGGCTACATTTTGATTGCCGCGCCCATTGGTCTGACCATCGTTGTGGTGATTGGTGGATTGCTCTTAACACTCATCTTGGTTGCTGCATCGCCAGCCATAGCTGTCATTGCGACTCTACTGGCCTTGGCCATTGGAAGCTTCGCCATTGCCATGACCGCAGTTCCTGTGGTGGTGACGTTCCCAAGGCCACGTAAGCATAAGGCAGCCTTTGTGACTGTGAGGACTGGGGAGTACCTGTGTTTCGGCTTCGTCCTGGCTATGTTTGGGCAGACCGTCTGCGGAGAAGAGATGTTCTGGGAGACCAGGATCTTCTTCCTTGCGCTGGGGATCAATGTGATGGCGCTGCTCACATTCGTGGCCTTGCATTACTGCCTCAAGCCCATCGTTGCATGGGAGTCTGTTTTCAGTGACAGGTTGAAGGCTGTTGCAAAGAGCAGTTGTTGCCAAAGCCTATGGGCCGTGATCCGGTGCTGCAAAGGCAAGCCGGCTCTTCTTGCTTCAGAGTAGGGTCTTAGACCCTTGATCCACAATTTTGTGCCACAGTTCAAAGGTGTTGAGAGCTGTGCCTTGTGTGCAGCATTCTCGGCATAGTCCTCTGTGGCTCTGTGTAGAACAGCTCTTTTGGGCTCTTTAAAGAAGATGCCTGAACCTCGGCTATCAGCGGCAGCCAGTTCCAGCACGGAGCAGAAGGTGCAGAAGTTCCTGGAAACAGGTGCCTTTGCAAACTCTGCTCCATGCTGACTGACTGCAAGCACTGCTGACAAAGCGTGCGCTGGTGCCGATTATGAAATGCAGATGGCATTGTATAGCATTAACGCCTTGCAAGAGCATTGTTGAAAATGGAGTTGCAATCGGCAGGAACTTTCGTTGACAGCGCTCGCTGGGGATAACGCTCGTGCTGGTTGTATTGCCCCTCGTTAACTGCTCCAATGATCATTGCAAACGCAGTGACCATCTCGACCACCAAGGCCACAATCACCACAACGACAACATGGTAGTATCAGCTGCTGCGAGACATCGTCGGGGGTTGCGGGGCGGGGTTGTCAAAGTTATGGATAGTTATGGTCCTTTTAGGTTTAAACCCTACACCCTAAGCTCTAATAATTACTTGAATGTTTCAGCTTTCAGCTTTGCCAGGCACTGCCGCGCAAGGTTCTTCGTTCCTGAGCCTTAGCAAGCTGGGACGCCTGCAGTGATATGGGAGTTTCTCCAAGCGGGGGGCCCTTAGGGACCCCAGGGATATATAGAGAACATAAGGGATTACCAGTTCTTTAGGGAGGTTTTGAGAAACTCGCATCTAGCTGGATATTCATCGCAATGTTTGCTAGGATTTGAGTCGTAACACTATGAACGGTAGCTCCAGCCAGGAGCTACCCCGAGACCCTAAATCCTAAACCCCAAACCCTAAAACCTAAATCCTAAACCCTAAAGCCTAGGCACAGAAAAGATGCAAAGGGTGTTTGAAAAATCCTAAACCCTAAAGCCACTGGGAATGATCTTTTTTTGCCTGAGCATTCCATAAGATTCCAAGAGTGATGCAGTTCTTCTCGGCTTTATGTCCCAACGTTGCCCTGCTTGCCTGGGTGATGACGACATCCCCCACTATTCTCTTGCGGTACCCTTTGCGGTGTATATTTAACATGTTTAGGGAGTGTAGGTGTTTAATAGTAGTGCCAGAGGGGTTTAGTGAGCAGTTGAGGGTCCAGATTCATGGGTAGGCCGTTGTAAGATGCATGGGTGTAGGGTTAATGTACTTACTGTCATCGATTGCACGTCCTAGGCTGGAAACGGTCAACCCTTCAGATTCCAGGTTTGGTGCTTTGCAGGAAATGGAGGAATTAAACCTCGGAGTAGTCCCTAAACATCCCCCCCCTTAATGTCACTTTGTTTCTTCATGTCCTTGTATCCACCCGAAATCCTAAACTTCAGATATTTTAGCACTGTCCGTGGCTTTTCTTGTCGATTCCTTCAATGCGGCCCCTAACCACCTGCAGGTTTCAGGATTCCATAGATGCCCACAGCCGCAAGCCAGGCGAACTGCAGCTGCAATTTCCCCGGATGCTGGCTATGTAGGGATTCAACCGACTTTCTTGAAAGTGGAAGATCCTTAGCCTGGGGCTATGTCGGGACTACAGGATTATAGGGAAATTGTGGAGGGGTTCAGAAGAGTTGCGCAACCCTAAACCCTGGGTCCTAGACCCTGACCAGGCAAAAGGCGGAGGACTGCCAGGGTATTGGATAATATAACCTCATCATATATATATATATACACACCCAATAGACCCCAATATACATATACCCAATATAATATCCCCAATTACAACTTCGATATAGCCATTATGCACGCAAAGCAATCGCATCGGACATCCGGACCCTTTTTGCTCACGCGCTTTGCGATGACAATGAACTGAGTGTACTGTAGCTCTTGTAGCTGCAATATGCCAGAACGGATTATGGTTCGCCATTTCAAATGCTTTCTTTTGAGCTATCTGGAGAGTGATGCCTTACCCTTGTTTTCATCCTGCGTCTGAGCGCAATCCCAAAGCGATCTTGACGATAGGGTATCCATATTTGTCCGGGCAGTCGTCCAGAAACTTCACTTCTCGATCGCCCAAAAACCCTAAACCTTAAACACTACTTAAAAGATCTCCTAGCCCTAAACCCAAAGCTCTTATGGTCCCCTGAAGTAGATAGAACATGGGCTATATGGGGATCTTATTACAATATACCCAACGCCATGTTCCATCTACTGAAGGGGGACTATAGGTTGTGAGAGCCTGCGCAAATGAGACAAAAAAGCCACTGGCGATTGCAGCAGGGCTGATACAACTTGCTATATTGTAGCTTCCATTTCATTTTCCATGCGATTTTCCGCTTGGTTTTCCACTATTGGGTTTAGATTTCTGCATCCATATCCCTATGACCCCTTTCGGACCTCCTGTTTTTATTGCTTATCCGCAGAGGGGTTGCTTGATGTAACTCCAAGATTTAGATCTCCATAGTGAACTTAGATAAGGGAGCCAGTATAGACCCCCAAATAGTCTAATCCTTATTGTCGGGACTCTTAGATCCCTACATGACCCTACATCTCCCCTTATAAAGGTACCCCTAATTCTGGGAGAACCTACGCCCTAACCTTACTATAGGGACCTTCGAAAAGGTCCCGTGATCTTGGGAACTCTCAAATTCAAAAAAAAGTGCAGCCTGTCTGGAGTCTAACCCTAAACCCTAAACCCTGAGCCCTAAGCTAGCCTCAGCAGCAAGTTCCGGGGCTTGTGTTTCTTGAGCACATTGTGACGTCTATGCTTCATATGATATGTTGTGAAATACGTGTTCCCTCATGCTGCATCACATATGATAGTAGCTTTCATGTTTACTTGGGACCTTAAACTTTACATCCTTCGACTTGAGGGATGATCCGGGACTCGGAGATTTTCGATTGGATCCATGTTTCTCAGGCTTTATTCTGAATATCAGTCGGTGAATGTCGTACGTTGTGTGGAAGACAGGTCTGGTCCTAAAAGTGACTGCCGCGCAGTTTTGGCCCAGCTTGTGACTGGAAAGTATCACTAGCTCTGCACACAATCAGTGGCCATCCCTGCCAGCACAGCCTGGGCCCCCGAGTTGAATTCCCAAGTTGAAGACCACTAGAGCCCGACACCCTGAACTCCATAACCTGGAATCCTAAGCTGTTTTAACCCTAAGCCGGTGCAGAGAGCTTGCAGTCGCAAGCCTGTTCTTTGCATCAACGGCGGGGGGCCCCAGACGACGGTGATGAGGTCTCGTGATTGGCTTGGAGGGTTGCACGCGAACGCAAGGATATACTGGGTTGCTGTGAAGGAACTTAACTTAATCTAAGTTACTTTAATGGGGAAATCCCATTATTCTTTACATATACCCACTCTGGCAACTTAATGTAAGTTCCTTAGCAGCAACCCAGTATAAGGTTGATGGCCCTTGGCTTGGAGCTATAATTGTAATAGCAGTAGTAATGCATAATGACAATAAGAAGGGTAGTATGTTTGTATTGATGGTAGTCGGACTGTAGTAAGCCTTTGACAGCGAGACACTACTGAAGGGTAGAAGCCCAGCCCCTGACTGTAAGCAATGAACCCTAAACCCTCAACCTTACTCCCTAACACATGCAGCCCAAAACCCCGAAATCCTACATGTCCCTATATACGCCCGCGATACCTCTCTACCCTTTGCAGCCCGGACTTGTCCTGAGTCATAAGCCCCTCACCCTGAACCCTAAACCTAAACCCTGAATCAACACTAAAAACCCTAGAGCCCTAAACCCTAAATCCTAAACCCTAAACTCTAAGCTCTAAATCCAGGCCTGGCACCAAAGCAGCCTGCGTTCTGGCGGGCAGTGCCTTCGAGACCTTTGGCGGAGAGTTGGCTCTGGCAGAGGCAGTCTGAGGATGTACCTGGTTAGGGAAGTTTGGGGTTTAGGGTTCCAGGGTTTAGGGGCTTAGGGGTTAGTTTAGGCTTTAGGGTTTAGGGGCTTGGAGATTAGGGATTAGGGTTGGGGTTTAGGGTTTAGGGTTTGGGGCTTTAGGGGTTTTAGGATTTAGGGGTTTAGGGGTTAGGGTTTTATGATGTGCTGCAAGGAGTGAGGGTTTAGGGATTTAGGGGGGTTAGGATTAAGGGTTTAGGGCAGCGGGCTAGTCTGTCCGGGTTTGGGATTTAGAGTTCTGGGTTTTGGTGTAGGATGTAGGGTTCAGAGTTGAAGGTATGTGTATGGGAGCATTTGGAACGACATCCGGGTTATAGAGATTCGCGGGGGCTCTAAGTTTGTAGTCTTACCTGGTTTTCTGGAGGAGAACATGTTCTCCTTTTGGAAATGCTTATATAACGGAGTATATAGGGGACTACTATATAGGGGCTATTAAGGGGGATGCAAGGTGTTTGGACTATAGACTATAGCTCATTTGAAGTATCGAGGTGGTCTCCCCACAGGACCCTTCATAGCCACAGCTGTCTGGCACAAGCCTTCCGTATCCCAGAGTAAGGTTTAGGGTTTAGGGTTTAGGTCGACGGCGGCTGTTACCGGAAAAAATATGCCCTTGGACTTTCTGGTTCACAGTAGGGAATAAGGGAATATAACCCCTATATACCTCTTATATAAAGTTTTCTTATATTCCTTAGTGGATCTGTAAGCCTTTGCATTGCTTTGCCAAGAAAACTCGGGACCAGCCCAACCTGAAGACAGTTTCCGATCATCAGGGCGGGCTACCAGTACCTTTAGCCGGGTGGCTGTTAAGGAATTCGAATTGAGTTACCAAAATGGATATCTATAGTCAGTAATTATTATGCATCCCCTAATATAGCAACTTGAATTAAGTTCCTTGACAGCAATCCAGTTAGAGCTGTCCCCCTTCTTGGAGAACTACTCACCTTGCAGTTCCAAGGGTCCAAGACATGTAATCTCAACCCTAGAGCTTGCGCATGTGCGAATCCCTAGACTCTAAATCCTAAACCCTAAATCCTAAAACCTAAATCCG